ACGCTGTGGACTCCAGTTCTGGCGCCAGCTCTAGCACCGAGAGGAAGGGCTGTTTCCTGGATGCCCAAGACACACCAAAGCTCACATGCTGTCTGCTCCCTGAAAGTTTTCTGGCTCCTTCCAAGGAGCCACATGGGGCCAGCACAGGCCTGGCCTTCCTGCCGCCTGTAGTCCTGGCACTTACTGAGCAGAGGCCCGACTGCGCGTGGACACTCCTGAGATATTCCTTGCAAGGAACCTGCAGGTGAGACCAGGAGGCTGAGCAGCCCCGACTGAGTGGCCATCTAGTTACCAAGACAGTGGCCCCGTCTGTGGCTTCTCTGAAGCTGTGACCTCACCGTGACAGTGCCAAGGCCCACACCCCTAGGCCGTGGAATCCCCACTTCCAGCTGTCTCCACCACCCCCTCACCCCAACTGCCAGGTGGTTATTCCTGGCCACACCTGAACTTCCCCCTAGTCTCACTTTGTTTGTTCTCTCTCCCGCTTGGCCCATAACCCCTTCCTTTGAGTCATTTTTAGCTTCTTCACGGGAGCAGTGAAGTACTGTGTTAAGACAAAAGTTCCTCCAGTCCCCAACCCTGCTGCACAAACAGCTGGGACAGACAGAGATCAGCCTTGTCAGTAGGCTGTCCGTGAGGACACTGGACCACACACCCTGCAAGGAGCTCCACTGCCCACACAGAAGAAAACACTCAGAACAAGCCCTTGCAAGAAGCCCCCTGGGCTGCAGGCTTGGCACCCACAGGCAACTGCCCTCCAGGCCCACACTAGGCCCAGAGTCACCTCAGTCCCAGTTCCATGGGTGGAAATACAGGGATGTTCTCTCGCTAAACTGTTCTGATTGCCAACTGTGCTCCATCGGGCAGGAAGAAGAATGGTCAGTGACCTTTTGCTCAGCTGTGTGACCACATATGGCCTTCCTCGCCCTCCAGCTTGCCAACATGGACAGTGACCCAGCCTCCAAGCACCAGTGCAGCTAACACCTTTCTGTCAAGAGGCTGAGTGTGATCAGTAGAGAGGAAAAAAGCTCTAGCTCTAGGGCAGAGGGACTGGCCTGCAGGGAGGCAACATGTGCAGAAATACAGGAAAATAGAGACTTTCTGAAGGAAAATAGAACTTTTCCTTCAATTATTAATATCTTTCCTTCCTTCACCAGATTGCGTCTCTTCTGAAGACTTTCCTTAATTCTTAAAATTGCATATTTGGCACTTGTTGTGAGCACTTTCCTTACTCTGTTATGTTGAGATGCATCACTGGCCAGTGCTGGGCTTCAAAAGCAGTTTAACAGCTGTCCCTCGGTATCCATGGGGCAGCGGCTCCAAGACTGCCCTCAGGTACCAAAATCCATTATGTTTATGTCCCTGACATAAGATGAGGTGGCATTTCCATATTACCTGCCCCACCATCTCTGGGTTACTTATAACACTAACACCTCCAAGTGTTACGTAGGCAGTTGTTACGTGGACTTTATGGAATAACAAAAAGTCGAACATTTCGAATATTTTCAATCCGTAAGTGGTTGAATCCACGGACATGGAAGCCATAGATACAGAAGGCCAACTATACTCGAAATTCATCTGCATCTCGGGGGCTTCCTGCCTATGGAGGTACATTGTGTGTCCAAAGATAACCTGACGGTGGGCTCAGTGCAGGGGAATGTGGATCTGACACAACTTAGAATTATAAAAAAGGGTCAAAAACTGGACAGTCACAATAGTTTAACTCCAATGCCAGAGCAGCAATAGGCTCCTGTTTGTGTCAGAATTGAAGGTTCAAATGTCTGAGGGTGCCGGCTCTGGGCACCACAGTCTGAGGTGCTCCTGGGACGCCTCGGACCCCGACAGCACTTACTCACCAGGCGCATAGCTGTCTAAGGCGCCTGGAGCCTTCCAGATGCCTCCATTACCCAGACCCCATCCAGATGATTTCTGAGAATTCTATTTGGCCCATTTACTTGATTCTTCTATGTTTACTTGAGAAGCAATATTCGGTTATCCTAAGGGACGGGTTCTAAGCTCCTGAATTCTACTTTGTGTTTGATGCTGATTTTTATAAACTTCAATTACATGCCTTTTCACCTTTCTTCATTCCTAACTAAATATACAAATATTCTGTGAAGTCAAAAAACTGATTTCTACCAGTGCTACGGCACTTTCTCCAGGAGATCTTCCGCAATCTAGCTCAGGAGCACACATTCAATGACTGACTTTCATTCCCAGAGCAGCTCTCCACCTCATCAGGTCTGTAGCGAGGACTATGGCCAAGCTGCTATGTGAGGATGAGGGTGACGTAACCAGAGGAACCTTCCAAAGGGATACATAGGGACACTCAACTGCCGAAACTTGTTTCGTGAAAAAAGAAAAGTGCGTTCAGTTAATTTAATATGGAAAATTATTTCTTAATCCAGAAACAGCTCTTAGATCAATTCCTGGATATCTAAAGTCCAGGTAAAATCACAGGAAGCTGGAATTTACTGGATGGCCACACAGACCCAAGCTCTGATTTCAACTTGCAGCCACAACAAGGCTACACAGTGCTGGTGAAAAGCTGGTTCTCTTCCACTCCTCGAAATCTACACCATTGTTCTAACAACTATACCAGCCATCCCATCAAAGTGCTGCGAGAACTTAAAATAACTTAAATGTTTAAAAACCTAAATGATCTTTTTAGGAATAGGAAAGGTGTGCATTTTCCAAAGTCATATGCATTTTTAAGGAAAGAAGGCGAGCTGCAGATTAAAACACAGGATTCAGAACACCCAGTTTCTTTTCCAAAGTAGCTATTTCAAAGGCCTCAACCAAACCCTACAATTCCCCGTGTTTGGAGAGCAGTTAAATCAATGTGACATGGTCTCTCCCCTTAGGGGACATCCATGAATCAGTAATTTAATGGTACCCTAGACCATTAAAGATGCCTGCTATGTCTGAAAAGTGTGTATTTTTAGGCAGAGAGATTACCGTCTTTCGGGATTACAAAAAGTGACCTCTGTTGACCTCCGAACCTCTTCAACATCTCACAACTCTGGCCTACCATAAATTTCTCTCCTTTCTCAAGCTACACTAACCTATTTATTCGATTGCCAACTTTTTTGTAAATTTAGTGATATAGATCTTGTTGGAGAATTGCCTGAGGCATATATTAAATTTCTTAAAAAATAAGTTACAGGTAGAGAAAATACAATGTTTTTTAAGAAGAATCTAAAATTAAATGAATCTCAGAAGATAAAAGAATAAATTCCAATTTATAATGAAAATAATTTGATCTTTCCAACTTCTTGACAGTAAACGCACTACTGATTCAGCTTATTATGAATCATCTGACTGCCAGCATACGTACGTATTTAAATATGCCTGACCAACTTTGCTTTCAGAATTTTCCTATTTTTTATAAATTTAAAAAATTTTGATATTTCTGACATTAGTTTTTGCTTTGGGCAGTTGTTTTAAGTGGAAGGTGGTATTGCGGTTACTGAACCTGTAGGTCTGCCCACAGAGCCAGGGGTGCTTTTCCCTTCTTGCAAGCTGGGATAATGGATGGGGTCAGCCCACCACCTTTCCAAATATTAAAAATACTTCTCTTTTAAGGGAAAAAACAAACATACAGTGCTAACCTAAATCCAACATGTGCTCAATAAAGTAGCCACAGTATTACTGGAATATAAGCAATAAGATTTACAGATAAGAAAATGAAAAAAGAAAGAATTAAACTGCAAAAATGCCAACAAAAGGTCACAATCAGAGGTCAACCCATTTCCAAACAAAGTGCTAGAAGAACCCAAAAGAGCTTGATGAATGAGTAGTGTGTTTCTGGAGAATACCGTGTTCTGCTCCTGAGATGGTCCCTAACCAAGACCTGGGAAGTGAAACAGGGCTGGCGAGTGTTGCTTTACTATTCTGTCATGTCTGTGGACACTGGACATTGGTCTCTCCAAGGGTCAGAGGAACTTGCTTCCTACCTATATGCATCTAAGTCTGTGAGACCCTCCTCTCACACAGGCATAAACCTGGAGTCATTATTAAGCTCTGTTCTTGGCTAAATCTGTAATAGGGAAAAATAATGTTGATTTTTCCTGGTTTTTAAGATGTGTACAACGTTCGCCCTTCTCACAACACAACACAAACAGCCCCACGCTGGGCCTCGGTTTCTTCCATTCTGAGGTCTCAGGGAGAAGCAACGCCCGTTAGCCAGCTTGCAAGAAGGGAAAAGGCACCCCTGGCTCTGTGTGCAGACCTACAGGTTCAGTAACCGCAATACCACCTTCCACTTAAAACAACTGCCCAAAGCAAAAACTAATGTCAGAAATATCAAAATTTTTTAAATTTATAAAAAATAGGAAAATTCTGAAAGCAAAATTGGTCAGCCATATTTAAATACGTACACAGCTGCTAGTTGGAAAGTAATCTATTCCAATTAACTGTCTCTAAACCCACAGGGTTACTAGACTCCAAAGAGATTAACTGTAAGCAATTAATCGCGCAATATGAGGACACTGACCTACCCAACTGTGTGGTGTGAGAGAGGAGGAGTGCCAAGGTCATGTGTGCGAGTGTGTGTGCACATGTGTACACACGTGTGGTGTGGTATGGTGCTGAGAACTGGACAGGGCACATTTCACAGGGGTCAGTGACCAGTTCCTTTGCCATGAGTATCCCCAGGAGAGACCATCATCAACTGGAGAGGCCACCGTGGGAATCTGTACAAAGGCAGATGGGTAGTTAACAATAAGCTGACAGTTGCCAGGTATGCCCGCCATCAGCACAAGCTCCAGGCATGTGCCAGAGATGGGACAGGTGGGACACCCCAGCATGGGGCCACTTGGGCACAGGGACCATGGGCAAGAAGGGTTACCTAGGCACAAGAGTCCTGGGGCACAGGCCCATAAGAGCATAGAGCTACCTGGGTGAAGGTCAACCTGCATGAGGGGCCACCTGAGCCCAGCCAGGCTCTGATGTGGTTTAGGGTTACCTGGGAGCAGGTCCACCTGGGTATACTTGCTCACCTGGGGCAGGTTCGGGGGCACCCTCCTCGCCACTGTCTTCGGAGCCTGGGGAGTCAGCCGTGGCACAGGCAGAACCTGGGCTGCTGGGCTGGGAGGCAGAGTCGCCCTCGCTGAGGGAGCCGCTGCGGGTGCGCGTGGGCCGGTTGCCATCGCTGTCCCTGTCCCGGCGCGCACGGCGGTGCACACGGGAGTGCAGCACCATCTGGTGGTAGGTGCGGAAGATCTTGCCGCACTCAAAGCACTCGGAGGACTTGCCCTGACCGGTGGTGGCCGCGGCTCTGCGGTTGTGACGTGCGGCAGGCCGGGGGTCAAGGTGCCCAGGCGGGATGGGGTCCCCAGGCACACTCGCCCTCTTCCTGGGGGGACCCTGCGAGGCTAGCACGTCTTGCTCACGCTTGCGCTTCTCCTGGCTCACCAGGATGTATTCGCGCCTGTCTTTGTCAAAGGCCACATCCCCGGCCAGCGCCTCGTCCCAGGCCCCGTATTTGAGGTACTCAGCCGGCTCAGCCACCTTGCCCCTAGTGGCCAGCTGCCAGGCCTGGTAGCTGTTGACGGGGTCCAGCTCGGCCACCCGCCTTCCAGCCTGCCCACCAGGGGGCGCGTCACCGGCCACCGAGGGCCTCAGGTTCAGGCACTGTAGGAAGAACTGCTTGGTGTCCAAGGGGTTCTCGGGGGCCCCTTCCCCAGCTGGGGCCCATGTCCGGCTGGCCTCAACCTTGCGGTGTATGGCATTGTGGGCGTTCAAGCTGTCAAGGTTTGTAAACAGGTTCCCACACTTGGTACAGACTTCGTAGAGGGACAGGCCAGTGACAATCACCTCCTCCTGGACCACATTGTTGATGGTGGCAATGACGTCCAGCTCACTCCTGGGCCGGTTCTTGCTCGCCGACTTGGGGCCATGCGCCTTCATGTGGTTCTTGAGGAACCAGGGCTCTTTGAACCTGCGGCCACAGATGTGGCAGCCATGGTCGAAGGACCCCCTGTGCTTCTTCATGTGCGCCTTCAGGAACCAGGTCTGGCTGAAGGCCTGGCCGCACACCTCGCAGGGAAATTCACCAGGGCTCAACTCCGGCTTGCCATTCTCGGCGCAAGCCGCGCCACCGTTGGGCACCTGTGCGGTGATGTGGTCCCTCTCGATGTGGCTCAGCAGCGACTCCTCCCGCAAGGTCACGTAGCTGCACAGCCTGCACTTGAACGGCTTATGGGCCTGGTGGATGTGCAACTCCAGGTCCTTCTTGCGCTCGAACTGGCTCTTGCAGAAGGAGCACTGGGCCTTGGCCTCGTCCGGGGCGCACGCCGTGCCCTCTGCGCCCTTCCTGCTCCGCAGCAGAAGCCTGCTGCCCTCAGCCGCCGCCCCATTCAGAACCCTGCTGCCGTCCGGCGCCGCCCCGTTCAGCAGCCTGTTGCAGGCCGACGTGCTCTTGGTGGGGCTGGCGCAGGCGTCCAGGCCTTCAGATACGCGCACCTCACCCACCTGAGCCTCGCCCGCCTCCGGCTCGTGTCCCTGAATCAAAGTCCCCGTGCGGTGGCTGCGGATATGAATCTTCAGGTTGCCCTTCTGGGAAGCCCTGTGGTCGCAGTACGGACACTTGTAGGGCTTCTCCCCCGTGTGCTTCCGCATGTGCTGCGAAAGCGAGCTCTGGAAGGGGAAGCTCTTGCCACAAATGCAGCAGCTGTGGCACGTGGCTTTGTCCCCATCCGCCTCGTGGCCCCTGCCTGCCCTGGTGGGGCTGGGGCCCCGCCTCAGCTCCATCTCGGCTTCTCTGCTGCGATCCATCCGAAGGACGGACGGCGGCGCAGCCGGGTGGCGCACGGCTTCACGGCGCGCACGGTGCCAGAGGCGTTTTATCTCTCCATTCTCAGAAGAGCTCCTGGCTTCCCCGACCACGAGCTGCGGCGAGAAGGGGCGCGTTCATGTGGAGAGCCCGGCGGCTGGACGTCCGCACCTGAAACAGACACAGAGTCTCGTGAGCACCGCGGCCACAGCACCGCGCAGGAATACCTGAGGGGCGGTCCGCAACCTCAATCCCGACAGAATTAAAAACACAGGACACCAACAAAAATGCAAACAGATGAACAAGTGGCTGTGTACCTTCTTTACAAAAAACAATTACGGATAATGAATTGTGGCGTTAATTAAAATAATTAATTGCAAACGACTATGAACTGACATAATTTTCTTTTACTGATAAGATACCGAATCTTTAAGGAAGGACTCGGCACCAGAGTCCATAGGATGTGAGGAACATAGGCTACCCGAGAGGCCTCGCTAGGACCCTGAGACAAAGAAGAGGGACGCAGGGGAAGCCGGCAGGGGGCAGTGCTGAGTCCTGGGCCCTGGAGGTACAGCCAGCAGCACGCCTGGGCTATGGGGTGCAGCCTCCTAGGACAAGCCTGTACAGCACGGGACTGTACGAAAACGCAGGCAGTTTAAACACAATGGGAACTAACTTATTTGAACATAGAAAAGGTTCAGTAAAAATAAGACATTATAATTGCACGGGACCACCATCATATACACTGCCCATCCTTGACCGACTCGTCATTATGCAACCGCTGACTGTATGTGACTGTGATTTAAGGACTGAGTCTTCCAGTAGGCAGATGATTGGATGAAGGATAAACAAGGCAGCCCAGACACGGCACCCTGAGTTCCTGAAGGGTGGTAGCTGCAGGACAATGAGGCATACCAGCCTGGCACCGCTTCTGAGTGTCTGACCATGAGCTTAGTCGCAGATCAGTCAAAACCAGCCCATGGCAGCCTGGGTCTCAGTGCCCAGAAGATAAATAAAGCCCGCTCCCTGGACCAGCCTATAATCCCCACTTTCCTTCTTGGCCCTGTGCATTTGCTCCTGGCCTCTCTCCCCCCTAAAGGGACCTCGAGCTCTGGCCACAGGACTGAGCCCTAATAGTGGTGTGGAGCCCCTTCCAGACCAAGAGGCCATTCAGCTTCTCATCTTGCCTCCCCCTTCCCCATGGGGGAGACGCCCACAGTGTGCTGACAAGGCTGGGTCTCCCCCAGAAGTGGTGCCTCAGCCTGAGGGGGTACCCACCACCCTGTAGGGCCACTGTCTCCTTCAGGTCCATGCTTCCCACAGCAAAAGGGGATGGGTCCTGCCTAAGCACCCCCACCAGGCACACAAGCCAGGCCGGCCAGCAGAGCGGGTCCACATGCTTCCAGCACAAGGAGGCAACTCCAGGGCTGGGGGACACACAGTTGGAAATGCCTGTCACCACCCTCACCATGGAGAGTCCAGCAGAGCCAGCAGAGCAGGCTCAGAAAAGGAGCTCACAGAAGGAGCCAAAACGCTCCTGACTCCAGGAAAAAATAGAAATCCAAGCCTCCTTCCAACTGGATAAATAAATGACCTTACCACAAACATTTCTTAATGACTATTCACTTTAAGCTAATTTAAACTATGCTGCTAACATTTTTGATCTTGGCACAAGTGTTGGAGGACCCTGAGATTTACCTAGGACGACAATTCTATAAGGCGAATGGTTTGCATGAAGCTCCTTCTTCCCCCAGGGCCTCATTTCACCACCACCCTCACCAAAAATACTAAATGTGAAATAAAAGGACAAATAAAACGTACTATTTAAGTTAGCGACTGTATCTGGTATAAAAAATTTATAAAAGTTTGAAAAACCACATGGAAACAAATTCACAGACAGAAGCAAAACCAACTAAAACCTAGAAATTGGAAGCCCTGAAATATTTTTACAAACTTCACCAGGGCGCTAATAATTGTCCATGAGGATGTAAAATGTCAAGACAGTTCTCAAATCCAAGAGGATCATGGCCAGAAGCCAGAAAAGGTTCAGAGAATGGGGGCCCTTCACCTGGCCAGGGGCCCTTGGCCAGGCAGGGGCCCTAAGGACAGCCACAAGTGCACCCTGAAATAATAGTCAATTGTTCCCACACAGAGACTTGCCCGAGGCATCAAAACTGTGTGCTCTATGGCCAGGGGTTCCAGTCTCCTTCACAGAGCAGCAGCTCAGGTCAGGAGGTGGGGTCAGGAAACACACCAGGAAGCCAGGGTCACACAAGCTCCCCACGAGCCCCTCCTCAGGGCACCCAACACCCAGATTCTAACAATGGCACCACCCACCCCTCTTTTGCCCTCCAGGCAGCTTCCTGGCCTACAGGCCTCCCGGGATCAGAGCGCTCTTCAGAGTACTTGTCACCACACACCACCCCTGTCCCCAGAATGCAGCCCTATCCAGCCCCCAAAGCAGCAGCAGGGCCAGCATCCCAGGTCACGTTGTCCCAGGCCATGGCCACCCCCTTCTACAGCCTAATAGGGTCCTGCACTTCCATATCTGCTGAGCCTGGGCCCCCACCCCAGCCAAAGCCAGACAAGTACCCTCAAGCAGCCCCTAAACAGAGAACCAGTTTCCACCCTGCAGGGGGCTGCCCCTCAAAACCAGCAGCCCCGCCTTACAGGGAAACATCCCCCTGGGCCAGACAAGCCACCTCTCTCTCCACCTTCCTCTCCTCTCTGCCTACCCTCAACTTTCAAAAACAAGCCCAGCTAAAAACCCGTGAGAACTGCAGGAGTATGTCTTTAAAGGACTTAGAAACATGTTAAAGGAAAATACATAATGCAGAAACATCAAAAGTACTATACGGTGACAATAAGTTAAGCCTAAAACACCATTATCTGAAGGAACTCTCCTTAAGGAGGTCACAGGTCTGTCACTGGTCCCCTCCTTAGGCCCTCAGGTAACTCCCAGAGTTTATCACAAACTTTAAACAGTGAAAAATTAATTCCCTAAGACGAGTTCTCCTCAAGGTCACTAGGGGCCAAATCAACAGATCTTTGTAATCATTCTTTTTAGCTACAGGAAAAATTGCTATGTAAGACAAGGGCATCACTTCCAGAAAAGAACAAGAGTGTCCTGGGAACTTGCAACTCCCAAATGTACCGGGCAGTGGCCCCAATTAGAGAGATTATCACAGGGTCACAACTCCTCAGCGCTACCTGCTGTCCTTAACAAGCCACCAGGCCCTGCCAGCAGAGGGCCTCGGATGGTGCCTCCACCCTCATGCTGGTCCCTGGAGGGTGAGGGCCCGCAGCAGCACCCTGACATCTACTCCCTCAAACGCCCGTCAAATGCAAGCTGCTGTTCCGGCTTTTCCCGCACCATACCAGTCTTATAAAGCTGGGAAACACCAGCTTGCTACCCAACCCTAAGGGAATAAAGAAAATCCTGCAGCAACGTGAACATCAGGAGGGGTGTAGGGGAGAGCGGGGGCCAAGTAAGAGTGGCAGAGGCCTGAACGTGGGGTCTGTCCACAACCAATCACAGCTTTGTTGTTGCTGTAAGACGTATGACAAAGTTTTTCCAAGGTAGAAATTGAGAACTTGCCAGACAGAACTATAATTTAATTGTTTAGACATGAATATGACTTACTGATTGATTAGGGTTTTAAAACATTTCCAATGGATCTGTGTGTGTGTGTTTCTAGGGATATAACAAAATTTCTAGGGATAGAATAAACAGTTTGGAGGTACTTTTTAGGAATGCCTTATAAAATGTTTCATGTGAGACATATTTCATTTTGATGAAATTGGGTAATTTAATCATATGTAGAAAGAAAACAAAGTGTTGATTTAAAAAATGTTCATTCATAACAAAAATGTGCATTATAATGGGGGTTGAAGAGATGACAGAATATGGAAGAAGATGGAAATTAAAATCCTCAGGTAAACTCTAAAAAATAACCATGTAAACACACAAAGCACTAGATCTAAGCACGTGTGTAACACTGCCTTATCTTGGAGACAGTCTTCTCTTTTTCTCTCTTTTTTGGTCAACATGTAATAGTATTATTACAATTAAAATTAAGTCTTTCCCCGATTACTTGCACTTGTTGAACTTGGTATAAATTTAACTGTGGGCAAGTATTTCAACTAATAAAACCCTTCTGTAAGGGAACTGAGCTTTTGACTTAATACAATGCAGAAAAATAACTTCCTGACACACATCCTAGTCACCTGCGGACAGTTCCCCACACAGGGAATGTAACCCTCTGATGCCACAGCAACTGCGTAACAGGCATAGCAAAGCCTGGGACTAAAAGAGGTAGCCCAAAAGAAAAGGCACTACCCAGCTCCTGTAAACCACAGAGCTCCTGTAAAAGGACTGCTGTGTCCTGCCACCACCCCCAGAGAGGTCGCTCCTCAGAGGGGGTCCCCCACCATCCAGGGTGGTGTAATCAGATTTTAACAAGGGTTTCTTTACAACAAGCATTTCCTGAGCACCCGGCAACATACAAGGAACTAAAGAATCAAAGATCACTAAGAAACAGCACCTGGCTGTAAGGAGCTCCCAAGTCAGACAGGGCAGCAAACCTGTAAACAAACCATCCTGAAGAACGTTTGGGCAGCACACCTGGAGGACACCAGCATCTGCGTCCTGTCTGTGGGCTGGCAAGGTCTTCCCAGGGAGTTCACATGGGGATAGAGCTGCTGTGGGTTAAATCTACACACCAGAGCAAGGCCACACTCCCAGGGACCCCGTGAGGGACAGCAGTGTCTCCAGACTTCCCAAACCTATCCCTACGTGTCCTGCTGTCTGTACCCCCAGATTCACCCTTGAATCTACACAATGACCTCAAGTCAAATCATTCCTCCAGAGTGCAGACGGGGCCAGTCTCCGGAGACCTCCAACCCTTCACTGGTTTTTCCCACCCTTCAGATGAAGTCCAAGCTCCTGAGCTCAGCTAATAAGGGCCTGACCCTCTGCCACCACCTGAACCCCCAGACCATGACCCTGTGCCCTGCTCCATGCTCACCACACCCCAGTCGCAGCACTCACTGTCCCCTCTGGCCCTCACCCCTGCATCCTTGCCCCTACCTCCTCATGTAAGGCCTCTCCCACCCCCTTCTACCCTCAGACAGAGACAGGTGTCCCCAACATGTTGTGAGGGCCTCGTGTTTGACCCCTACATGGGATCAAAACCCAGTTCTGCCTCTAACTCGAATCAGCTGTGTGACCTTTACCAAGAGTCTCAAGCATCTCTGTTCCTCAAGTCCATTTCTTCATCTTTAAAATGTAAACAACTGTAGTAATACCTATAGAATACTACTTTGGAGGGGTCTGAATTAATTTGTGCAAAGCACAAAGTTTAACACACAGTAAATGGTCAATACATCTTAATGTTTTTGAGACAGAGTCTCACTCTGTCATCCTGGGTAGAGCACCATCATAGCTCACAGCAACCTCAATGTCTCGGGCTTAGGCAATCCTCCTGCCTCAGCCTCCCCACAGCTGGGACTATAGGTGCCTGCCACAACACCCATCTAGTTTTTCTATGTTTTAGTTGAGAAGGGCTCTTGCTCAAGGTGGTCTCAAACTCCTAAGCTCAAGTAATCCATCCACGTCAGCCTCTCAGGTGTTGAGTGTCAGTGAGCATTGCACTCGGCTTCATCTCAGATATTAGTAAGTGCTTGTGGAATATGAATAAAATGTCAACACAGTATCCAAAGACACCTGGTCACTGGCAGTGACAATATTTGGCTTAATTAATACCAAAAGACAAAATAGACCTCTCTGAAAGCTGAATGAGAAGTAGCTAAATGCCATTATCTATATACTTGCTGGGCCTTACAGGTTATACTGCAACAGGTTATTGAATACACTAAAAATTCTCATCAGAAGCTGTGATCATCTGTAAACAGGCTAGAAACACACTTAAGCTCCAAAACTCTTTATAAAAGTTAAATTTGAATATGGACTGGATATTAGATGATATTTGGGAACTACTATTTTGTTAAACTGGTAACATAGGAAAATGTTATTTTTTGGAACTGTGTAATGAAATACTTAGGGGTGCTTTACAAAAGAGAGAAAAAGCAAATATACTAAAACGTTAACTGTCGGATCTAAACGGGGGGGGGCTGTGTATGTTCATTTGCTACCCTTTCCATTTTTTACAGATTTGGGAAATTTCTCACAAAAGAAGATAAAAATAAATTAAATCCCACCACCACTCCAGTGAAGCCACTGAAAGGCTAGCAGCCTGGGGCCCCGCCCACGCCCGCCCCTCCCCCACACCCTCTGCCCTCCCGGGCCCCAGGAAAGCTCAGAGGGCCCTGAGGAATGTAGTTTGGAGAATTACCTTCAGTTAATTCTAGTTTTCAAAAGAAAAGTCAAGGAAAGAAAAATCATCTGAAGAATATCAATTTGTTCAAATGAAAAGCAGTATTTTATTTTAAGAGAATGCCTTCTGCTGTTTTAGAAGCTTCCCCAAAGACATTAAAGAAATCCACCCACAATCTCCAGTTGCAAGGCCGGCAGAAAACATGAACTCCATGATCACCAGCTACCATCACAGAACCCAGGTTCATCTCGGCACTCAGCTGTTCCTCCCGCCACTGACAAGGCATAAAACCAGTAAGGATGTTGAATTTTCTCTTCAACAGTAATTTTATAACCAGTTAAATATGGCATAGTCAGGAAAAAAGGTAAAATACCTTACATTTTGAAATAATAAGCATGTCTCTAATTAATAGGAATCTTGCCATTTCCCTCCTCTGTGAGTGAAACCAGTACGAAGCTGAATGCACTGGTTTCCTAAACTAGCAAAGTTGACGCTACCAAAGTCTTACCCCAAGAAAGGCATCAGATGGCTAATCTTCAAATATGCTATGCTATACAGAGTAATTTCCACAAAAACACAACTCTTAAAAGTTCATTTATGCCCAGCAAAATCGGGCTTTAAACACCCAGGAGGAGCAAAGCGGGTGCACAAGTCCCTTCAACCAGTCTTTGTCAAATCAGGGAAGCAGAACTGAAGTGGGTGCTGTTCTTCAATAACTATCTATCTGGTATTATTTTCAGTTCTGGTTCATTAATTAACCATATCACGATACTAATACAACCATTCGAAGCCCTGTTCTCTCCGTAGGCCTGTCTGCTCCCTCCCTGGTCACCTTCCAGAGGACGGCCAGGGCTGGACAGGAGCAAGCTCGTCCTCCCCAGGGGAGATTCCTGCAAGTGGGCCAGAGTGGAATGTGAGGAATCACCAAGCAGGGAAGATGCCAAGAGGCTTGGGCAGACGGAACGCTTAAGATAGTTACAGGGCCGTCTGCGAGGGAGCATCATGGCTCCGAGGCAAACCAGGAAATGGAGAGATCAGCCCCTCTCTCCAGGTTTCTGAAGGGCGATTCTGGGGAAGTCCCCGGCGGCTGAGTGGGCGCTGGCCGGCTGCGTGTGTGTTGTTCTCCAGGAGACAATGAACCCGGCTCGCTGGTTACACTGTAGTATTATGAGCCATGAATTAAAATACATCATTAACATCCTGGACAAGCTTATCTTACTACTGAGACAAAAAGCCTATTCTTTGAACAAATGGGGAAAAATTCCTTAACAACAATGAGGAGTTCCTCTCCCTACTAACCATTCTGTACAAGATTAACAATTACAGGCTTATAGTCCCCAGACTGGGGTCCCAACGTGCCCGTGAAGGAGGCATTCACTACTGGTGGGGTGAGCAGGGCTGCTGCGAGGCCTGGAGGCGCTGCCGTGCTCAGACCAATCAATAATCCATTATGAACAAGCTACATTTCCACTCTAATAAGGAGAAATGAATAAAAGGCACCAGAATCGGCAGCATTCACAAGAAACTCCACCCCACCTCCCCCACGAGGGGACGGAGGACACAAAACCCCACTATCCCAGGGAGCAGCCGGGAGCAGAATCTCAGCCCAACTGCTGGGAACAAACCTGACAGGGACGCAGCACGCGGGACGTCGTGCTCAGATAGTTCTGCTAAAACCCTCCTCGCAAAGCCACGTCTCCAACCTGCTTTGTTCAGACAACGAGGTAAGGTGGGTGAGGGATGACAAAACTCTGCTTTCTGCAACAAACGTTTCCTTTAAATTATTTAGCAACACCCCCCCCCAAATAAATCAAAACAAGCACCAATATGTTAGTCCCCAACGCAGCAAGCTGTCCCCAGTAAGGCTTCGCTGTACAAAGTCTGCGATCACCTGGGCGAGACTTGCTCCCACCGCCACCTCAGATCACAGCTTTGGAGTCACCGCTCTGTTTATAGCAAAAATGCGTAGATGACCTAAACGTTGCTCTCCTGCAAGTAGGTTACGTTTGTTTCATGACGTTGTTTACCACAAACTGTCAAAAAGCCCAAATAAATTCCTGATTTAGAAGAAAAGAGAAGTCTATCTTCCAGTTAAGTTCAAGAAGAACATTTGCTAACAGTAACATTCACATGGTAATATATTTCCAAAATAGATAAAACAACATCAATGTGGAAGCTGCCCATACGTCCTTTTACTAAAATACACAGATTGGCGGTCAGATCTGCTGGGGGTGGGAGACGGGACTACACAATCACTTAATGCACGCAGAAAAGTCAAAGAGTAAACGAGGAAGAACGTGGGGATTTTCTGTCCTTAGACTTACTGACATATCCTGGGAAATTCAGAGTCTTATGGAGACTTCAATAAAACAGTGTCCATGGGAAATAAAGGGAGGGTGGGTGTGTTTACACCAGAGGGAGAGCAGCCCCTAGT